TAGTATGGGCCCTAATCACCTCACTTCTACAATGTTGATTATCTCTCTACAGTTCCTATCCCATCCACCCAGCCCCACTAATATCATGTGTACTTCTTTGATCATGAGATTGCCCTGTTCAACAGCCTTTATTAGTTCATCATTTCCTGTAGGATAAAATTCATAACCCTTAGCTAAACACTTCTACAGACTTGTGCCAACCTAGATAATCTCCTAACCTTATCTCCCGCTATTTCCCTGGCTCCATACCCTCCACTCTAGCCTAACTAGTTTGACTTAGTGTGCTTTTGACATATGATGAATATCACTACTGCCATACTGCAGTGCTTTTGTTCACATTAGTCCCCTCTAGTTTACAAATTCTGTATGTCATCCTTCTTGATATCACTGCCTCTGTAAAAAGTCCATAATAATCTCTCCAGCCCTAGAGTACATGGTGCATAATATCTCAAATGACTTGTTTTGCTATAAAGTCTGTCCTGCTGTGATCTGTGATGTTTTTGTATTGTTATATAATTCTGGACGGGGGGTAGCTTTGCATCTATGCATGCCTTGTCTGGTCAGCAAGATCATAAACTCCATGAGAGCAGTGACTGTGTCTCATTTATCTTTACACACTTGTCATCTAGCAGAAGCCTTGACCTCCTTGGGCGCTCCATGAATGCTTGTTGATTTTATTTGAGTAGTGTTGATTTAAGACAGGACAAAAAGGATGAGAATTAAATAAATAAGGGTTCATAGTGTTGTGTGGCATTATCTGAATGGCATTTTCTCTTAACGAGATGCTCGTGAAAGCTGAAGCAGCTTTCTATTAAAATAAAAAATTGTGGGTAATTCCGAGAAAAAGTTTAAGTTCTTGTAAAACTCTGATACGTCTATTGCTTTTATTATTATTTTCTGATATTAGAAAGATTACCTATAAGGGTTTGAACAATTATTGATAAAAATTAAAAGCACTTCTCTGTCTAATTTTTGGCCTAATTCATTAGATTTGCTGTATGCTTTATGTATTTTTGCTGACAGTATCTTGTTAAGCAGTTCTTCAAAATCCATAGTTAGACTGAAAACATCCTAAATTGCATTAAAATTGAATCATTGCCAAATTAGAATTTCTATTATACGTCAAGTCCTCCTTAATAGGATTCAATGTGGTGCTGGCCTTTCTGCCTTCTTGCATTTAGAACAGCAGTCTTTATCAGTGAAAAATGTCAGTCTTCATGTCTGAACACTTCAACAGTGATTATCTGTCTTCTGGACGTGAAAACATTGTTTTACCATTAGGCATTTTAGAAAGGGAAATAGGGACCACATGGAATGCAAGTGATCCACTGTGCCTGAGCTGATCCACTATGACACCAGCTTATTATGTGAAAGAAGCAGATGCTGTGCTTGGGTGAGAGTGAGATCAAGAGAGATTCATCCCAAAGTTGTGTCTTCTTAGAGTTCTAGGATTATCTGGTTAATAGAATGGTTAATGGAATATTTTTCACTTCATTGAGTCAACTGGCTGTTTGGTTGAAACTGATTAGTTGTTTGGTGTATCATCAACAATATGAAAGTTATCCTTGATCATAGATCGTGAGGCTTACAGAAGTCTCATTTCCTAGGTCAAAATCACAAGGTTTTAGTATTGAACACTGTAACACACTGAGTAAAAGATGCTAAGAGGTAGCCACCTAGTTTACCCTGGCATTTAAAAGAACTCAAACATAAAATCATCCAAGAAGATGTCAGGATAGGCAGAGATTTTATAGTCCACAGAAGATCACTTTAATTTTTTGAGATTGTGTAATCACTGGATTGAATAAGGACTTGAACCCTGAGTACCCAGTGGTGCACAGGAAGACTCCTTTTACAAAATAAGCCATTGGGACAACTATGCAGTTTTTAGATGCAACCACTGGAGGGTGTTTGATTTTAATCCTTCCTTCCCGAATGAGGAAATTCTTGTTCTCTGAATTCCGATTTGCGAGTGTAACCTGAAGAGGTTCTTAAAAAGGCCCTTTGACAATTTTTCTTTTCCATCAACATTTCAGAGCTAGCTGAGCAGTCACCATGTCACGATTAACGAGTTTTTCCTTGGCATTTTTAGCACGCGTTCAGGAAGTTGATGAAGTATATGAATAATATACTTGATTTACACATGAATGACAGAGTAGAACATTTTGGACTTGGTGTATGTGTGTTATTAAAGAAGCTTCTGTGGTCTGTATTTGCAGCCATTGGTACAGATTTAACAGGTTATGCTATATAAATATAGACACATTCCTGAGGGGGGGTTAGTTACAATGTTATAAGCTATGTTTGTCCCTCACATCTCATTTAAAACATGTTGACCCAAAACTACACCTTCCTCTAAAAATTAGCAATGAAGTCTTTGAGGACTGTAAAAGCAGACTTCATAAGCTCACTCTTGATCTACAACAATAATTTTCTATGAATCAAGTTAGCAAAGTCTAAGACATAAACCCATTCATGTTTAATGTCTTTGGATGTATCTTCAGTTTCCTTTGCACCACCCTCATGGTACTCCAACTCAACCTCATCAACACACATAAGTTTCCAATGTATATAATTCTTAAAAGAACAAGGATGGATCGCTCTCTCTCTCTTCCTCTTTCATATTTCAAGAATTTTCAGTAAGCTTAGAGACAAGGATGTCGCTTTCCAAGGTGAGCTGGAGGTGTCCGTACCCTTTTCACATACTCTACCATAGAAGCATTGTCCTTTGACCATCATGACCCAGCAGAGAAGGGGACTTTGGATGCAAATATATTTTTCTAAATGCTGAAACTGAGCCTTCAGATCTTGACGTTAGTTTCCTGGCAGTGATCTACGTTTCCATCCTTGAACCTGTGGCTAGGATTTACCTTATGTTTTCTCAGTTTTGGTGTTTGAATGTGGCAAGACTTCTTACTTTCCAGTAAATGTGTGTTCTGTCTCTTCCCAGGCTAGAAACATCTGTCCTTGAGAATAGCAAAAGCAATTTTGTTGCCAAACAGGCGTCTGAATGTCAGAAGTGACAGGCAACCCAAAGAAATCCAGATAGAAAACACTCTACTCAAACTGCCTAGAGACACAAACTTGAGAAGTAGAAATTTTCTCACTCCTGCAGCTGCTGTATTTTGTGGTGTAAAGTACTCTACACAGAGCACATTGTGTACATGGGGCCTAGTGGATCCTCGAGGAATGAACAGATGTGCTCTGAAGCTGACATGTGACCAACAGAACCCAGCTGTGCAGTTGAGATCCTGAGATTGGAGACATTTTTGGATGAGTACCATTTAGGCTCTTGGATCCATATTATCTCCTTGTGTTTCTGCAGAGATTAAAAAACACAAAAATATAAAAGGTTATTGACTTGGGCTAAGGGCCACTGGTCAGACAGAGAAAATAGCAGCATTCTAAGACTAAAAGTAGAAAGAGCCCAATCTTGTAGCCTTTGTTTCCCATCTAGAGAAAGCAAGCAAGTTGCTTAAAGGGGTATATGCAAATATATTAACAATTATAAATTGAGCCAGTTCTGACAGAGGCTTTTAAAAAAAGCTATTGATGTCTCAATGAACTTTTAAGAGAGAAAGGAAAAAA